TTATTCCAAACTGTTTGAGGTCACCTATGCCTCACAGCATAGCGTTCAAGCAGACTGCTTTGTCTGTTCACTACAGGCTCTGAAGTCAGTGTTGAAATGGAGGACGCCAATTCATGCAAGTTAGGTACACACACAGCTCTGTGAAACACCAAAACCACTGTAATAGTTAAACGTGTTTCTGCTTCTATCATAAATCTAAGGCTCTAGACCTGTTATACTTCATATAAAACATTAGCACTCTCACAATAGATATTTGTGAAAATGAGTGATATTAGACCTTCTGCAATTCTGTGAAATACATGTTCCCTTCTCCTAAAGCTATTACTCAATACTTTTCTTGGAGGAAACTATTTGGAGATGTTAAAAAAAGAAAAGGGGGAGGGGTGGGGGAAGTACCACCTGCTACACACCAGTGTTGCAAACCAACAAAACCACAGAATCACAATATGCAACTTAATGCTAATAAAAGTTACGAAGCTTGCGTATAAGCCTTGATTCTGTCTCTAGAACACAGCATGGTGCAAACTTCCAGTGGTCTCAGAAGAGATGAGAAAGACCAGACAGAGCATCTATTCTCTAAATGGAGAATAATTTGCTTCTTTGTAACTGTCTGATGCCTTGGAGGGATGAGAAAGTAAAGAGAAGATAGCCAAAAAACAGAGAGATGCACCTCTTCCTTTTTCCTAAAACTTACAACCGTCATTTACTTACAGGTAACTGGAGTATCGTCAAGGACCCAGATTTCTAATTGTGACCTGGATAATCAGGAAGACAGCTGTGTATCAGTCCTCCTTACCCACTAACTCCTCTTCATAGCTGGGCTGAGACTTCTCAGGATCACCTCTCTAAACAGCGTAAGGCATCTGTGGAAACGGGGACAGGACGCAGGCCACTGACAAGGAGCACAGCGCTTTTCAGAGGCAGACTAGACATGAACACTCACAGTAAGAACACCATCCAGTCTGCCAAAAGAAGATACACATATTTAAGGGATTTGGTGTAGGATGGGTTGCACTGTTTGTTACTTCCATTTCACAGTAGCCGTTGAGTACATGGAAGCAGTTGCCGGGCTCTTCTTCTTGGTTCATACCCAGGATACGTTGCCCCAAGCAAGCTTCAAAACCGCTGCCGGAGTTTGTCGATGTACACCACACTCCAGTGGTTCTCTAATCCCAGTGATGAAGACTGGAAAAGTCAGTACCGAAGACAGCTTTGACAACTTTTAACCCAAGCTGGGGGTTTTCTCAGATGAGGGAGACTGTGTTTATTTTCTTTTTATGCAAGCGTTGTAAAACCAATCAATAAGGACAAGAAAGCCACAGAGGGATTTCAAACTTTTCTCATCAACACCTTCTCTTTCGAACCCAGAGTACTTCTCTTATAATAATAGAATTTTGAAGAAAGCATCACCCTGTATCCAATGACATTATCAAATCAGCTAGGCTTTTTTTGGGGGGGAACTAACTAGCACCTAGGAGTATGTCACCTATACATAAAATTATACATAGTTATTTGATTCCAGTGAAGAAAAAAATGACTTTCCAAAAGTCTGTCCTGTCCACTTATTTTTCTCTCTTTCCTGTCCTACTTATTAATAATGTAATTTCAGGCTTAGCTTATTATTTGTAGCAGGGTACCAGTCAGACAATGCAGTCAAAAAACTAGATCCCTTTGCAATAGGCACTGTCACAAACATAAGCAGCTGATTTGTCTTCCAATTAATTTACAAGCGTTAAGTATAAAACATTCTCGATAAGATGGACAGAGTGAGCAAAGGGTGATAATACAGCTAATGTAACAAGCAACTGAATTTTGTTCTGCACAGAAAGAACATACGGAAGGACGTTAATTAATGCCTTATGGTCTTTGCCAGTCCTATCTTTCTAATTAATAATTAAAGTTAAATTTCCAAAGGATGCCATACTCTAAAATGCACTTTCCAAACACTATGCCTCTATATTATGTCACCTTGCAGCAAGTAATCCTCAAAAATAAAAGTACTTTGGAAACACATTCTGTAACAGCTGCTTCCTAGTAGTCACCATAAGGAAACTAAAAATGACTTGATTTGGAGAAGGAAATGTCTGCCTCCTTTTCTAAAGGAGACCTTTTCCTCTAGTTTTTGTTGGTACCTGTTAATTAGGAAAATCAAAAAAAACTATTTGAAATGCCATAATCACTTAAAAGTTACTTTGAAGCATATTACTTTGTAGTAACTTTGTATAACAGGGATCAATCCTGCTTTTCAATACTAAAAAAAAAAAACCCACAAAAAATCCACATGAAAACCAAAATATCTTCCATGACAAGTCACTATGCTCATTCAAATATTAAGAATTACCAAGTATCATACAAAGTTAAATACCTCTGAGTTAAAGCCTTTTCATTTATCTCGTGGCCTTTTTCTTCACATATTTCTCCCCAACTACTAATTTCTAAACACTTGTACCTTCTTTGTTTGTCAATTTGAATCTCATATTCCTGCTTTTCCCACTCTGAAGAGCAACCTCAGACAAACTCAGTACTAAACTCAACCAATAGTTGAAATGCCAAAGAATAGATTGCTTTGCTGCTTGTTGTCACCTTTCATTTCCTCCCATTTGATTAGAAATACTTAATTAGTGCTAATTAAGTACTTTGGAGCTTGGGTGGAAGTTTTTATAGAAGTGCACATTGCTGCTAATACTTCAACAAGAGAAAAATACGATGACAAAACCACAGACAGTGCACTGACAAGTAAACAGAAATTTTTTTAAAAAAAAAGTCTATTTTTACCTTAATTGAGAACATGGGTACAGCTGAAGACTGAAGCAGTTTATACTTTGCAGCTCTGTCCCTGCCCTGAATTTGCTGTTGCTTTAGAGCCTGAACTTCAAACACATCTGACTCCATGTAAGTGGAAAGCAGGTCCATGGGTGTCATCCGTTTACCTTGGTATAATTATTGTCATCTTTAACATACCTCTGTGCTGGGGTCCAGCCAGCCTATCCTAAATCCGGCACTGTATTAAAGAAGAAAAGAGGAGCCAAAACAGGTTTCTGTACTACTTCAGTACCTTTCAATTATTAGATTAGCCCTTTAGTGGTAAATGCCTGAAACTAAAACAGTAAATACAAGGCCATAAAGTAAAGGAACCCCGAGGCTGCTTTAAATAGCTGTGATCTCACAAACTTCAGTATCTCAGCTGCCTACAAATTAGCAGAAGGAAGAAAGAATGTGCCCTAATGATTTCTTCACTTCACCTGGTTGCTGAATACAAAATTCATTATCCATGCCTTCAGCTCTCTGCTTCAGCCAATCTTAAGGCTAAATAATAGAGCCTTCATGGATCAAAGCTGACCTTCCTTATCAGGTAGTCTCCATTATGTATTCCATCAGATGATGAGTAGGTTATCCAACTTGAGAGAAGTAATTTAGACTAAACAAAGTTACTATATGCATTTTCAAAGTTCACTTCATTTTGAATTTCTCTTCCACCTCCTGAACTCTAGTCCAGCAATTTTACGTGAACAAATCCTTAAAGATATAAATGAAAATCTGTATTACTAAGCAATCTTTCTTTTGAAATAGGGATCAAGTGTTTGCAATGGAGATAAATTCATTTTCAAATCTAATTCATATACATTATTTTGAAGAATACTGAGCCTAAAAAAAAATTAGTCTGCAAACTTTGGTCTGTGAGTACCGATGCAAACCCAGGAACGCTAGTTAATCTTTTTACCCTCTATGCAGCAATGACAACAAAAAGGAGGTCCATCATGTACTTTACCAGATTCTATATTACAGAGTCCTGAAGTGTACCACATTAGAGAGGACTGTGGCACAATTTAAATTTTAATTCTATTTAAATAGAATTTCAGTGTAAGTTGGGAAGCGAATGAGCAACCTTACCTAAGCACATTTTACTGTTACATGTATGCATGTGTCATACACTTCCTACTAGGTGAAGAACAAATTCTCCACAAGAACTCAAAGTTTTTCACAGTATTCTGTAGCTGATAAATACATTTAGACACTTTCCATTTCAGTAATATTTAGCATTCATCTTTGTAATATTTATTGATGATAAAAAAATCTAATGTAATTCCTCTTTAGCTCATCTTTTTCCACATTAACTACATATTAGCAATGGTTTGATGAAACTAAACTCTTCTTATTAATGCCTATCTTTCCTTACAAATAATCTCAATTATATTTCCATTTCTCTGTAAGTTAACACCAGCTGCCCATATTCATCTTTAACATGAACAGGATATACAGGCATACAACACAGAAAAGCAGATTACTTCATACTACTACACAACTATTTAAAAACGTATTTACATGTCAGCAATATTACTGTTTTTTCATAAAAAGAGAAAAAAAGATTTAATCTATCGGGAGGACATCCTATGGCTTGTTGGGGACATCTATATTCTCTATGTTTTACACCTGTTTTTCCTATGTATGGAGAATCTATATTATTGTATTCTCCCTTCCCCTCGTTTAAATAATTTTACATCTCACTCATAAAAGAAGCAGCCATTTCTTTTAAGAAGGCTGTTGACACTCTATTATTATAAAGACATTCATCACCTCTTTTCCATTGAAAAAAAAAATCATGTTAATGCTTGATTATGCAAATGCAGTTTTGGAAAGAGAGCGAGTAAACTTCGATAAATACAAAAAAATACAAAAAAAAAAAAAAAGGGAGAACTGTCCATTACTGAACAGCAGGTTTTATACTGCTGTGTCGGTATCCTGATGTGAAGTTCAGAAACTGCACTTGGGAGTTGTGGTGTCTGCTCCGGAAGTACCAAACAGCATTATAATGTTTTCCCAAATTTGCTTTTTGAGAGCAATTTGGAAGGCAATTTTGTTATTTGATAAGATGTCCATCACTAAATTCGCCTAAACACAGATACAGACACCCATCCCAAACACACATACACACACACATACATTGATTTTACAAAAGTCTCCTTTTTTTTTTAAGGAAGTAGTCACAACACTGAAAATATTCTTCTATGTGTTCACTGATTATTCTTAAATTATTTGTTGCCACTCTGCCACTCAAAGGAGATGGTTATTTCATTCTTCTGAGAAGCTAACTATGTTCAAAAGCAGCCAGATGAGGATGGTGGTGTGACATAAATTCCAATAGAAAAATGCATTGTCCATCCGTGTCCATCCGTGTCGCATTGTCCATCCGTCCATCCATCCCGAGAAACTTCCACTGACAAATTCTTACTGTTTTCCATCAGTCACGGGGTTCCCATCAATAAATAGAAGGTCAGTGCAACAATGAGGAGCAAGCAGAACGGAGAAGAGAAGGTCTGATAGGCAGCTGATGGCATGAAAATATCTTCATACTTGTAAATACTGACAACACGCTCTGATACGGGTGGTGAGTCTATGTCATGACGAGTTATAGAACCTTTAACAGGTAAGGGCAGAAAGAAATAAGGTCAGATACATTTTCTTCTATAACTCTACCAAAGCAACAGGCAGACAGCCAAGTAATCATCAAACCTACAGGAGCATGCAATATTACACTGTCAGTGAGCAGGGTAATTTCTCTGCTTTCTGAAATGAAACTTCTGAATGAAACAAATGAAATTCAAGTAAGCAATAAACATCCTTCAAAGGAATTCAGAACTTCCAGTTATGAAGTTCTTCTAAATTTAGCTTTGGAGAGTGGGAGTAATAACTATATAGACAAGAAAACGTGACATGTAGGGCTTTGTTATTTATCCTGTCTTCCTTTTTGTCTGTTTCTAAGCTCATGCTGTCAGAATTTTAGTTCATGAAAAAAAAAGGGGGTCTAGGAAGAATAATGTAATTGGAAGACATTTACAATTTTGGCACCTCAGTTCTGTTGGTAACACAGAAATCAACTTACCCTGAATTGCTGGACCCCAAGCAAACAGATAGTACCAACTCAAGTGCAGATCTACGATGGTTTCCTCTCGGGGAACATACACAGGACGCTTGAAGCGACATGTTACACGATTGTTTTCAAAAACCCCTTCTTCATCCCTAGCAGGATTTCTCTGGATTTCTTTAGCCCACTGACCGACATTATAGAAGTGCTGTATTCGGACTCTTCCGTTATCATCATGCACACAAGCCATGACATCATCTCCTCCCTACATGGTAAAAACATATTGGTAGAAAGAAAACAAAAATGTTATTTCCTCATTTATGCATATCATTTTAATTATTAAAAACTAACCAAGACCTGGGCCTCTCATTCCTTCTAAGTTATATACGCACTAATATTTGTTTCCCTAACTATGTGTCTTCAATCAGGTTGAAAAGCACAAAGTGAATAGTAATATTTACTTACCTTTACTATCTCTTAATTCTGTTTTGGATCTAAGAGTTATTCTACCTAACATATATAACATATTTGTAAGACATGATATCACCTTGACATCACATAATTAATTGATCAGTGGAAGGCTGTTTTCTTTCATAATTTGTAAAGTTCTGGGGTCCTGCTTCACAAAAACTGGCAGTCTGGAATACTTGACGTGTACAAAATCCACTGCATCAAATCATAGACAGAAAACCAATATTGTTTACTGAAATAGAGATGATAAATCTACTAAATATGGGAAAATAATAGCACAAATTACAGTCTGTCTTTTCTAATCTCTTGTCATGTTCACTTAAAGGAACATCACTTCTTATATCTCTTAAGAGAAAATGAAAACTGTTCAGCACGTAGTAACAGAATACAGAACACCATAAGATACAGGAAAAAAGTAATCAATATGTGCTTCTTCACGTAGCATAAACAGCCACCAAGCTGTACAATCAAGCAAAGAAACAGCGGACAGAAGGAAGTGTGAGACAATTGTAGAGGCCATTCATAGTTATTAAATTAAACCAGTTATTAGAATAGCTACTCAAGGTCACTGCCAAAGTGGTAGAGCATTTTATCACTCAGGGATTTGCATTAATTTTAGGAGTGCTATCTCATAGATGCCTTAGTACCAAGAACCATTAAAATGCTGTGCAAGTTGGATGAATGGCATTTTACTGAACACCACAGGTCCTGCTTCTCCAATACTAATCTTTCCGATATGTCATGCTGATGACACACACGATGCTTGCTACTGTGCTCATCTCTGAATTCTTTGTTATAGGGAAAGCAGAGAAAAAGGGTGCAGTTGAGCTCTCTGGGAATATTGCTATGTGGATTTCTAGAAGATGTGCTGAAGGTGAGGGGAAAAAGGGGAAAACTAGGTAAAACACATGCCTGAACAGTTTCTGCACCTTGGTGCTGCTGCAGGCAACCTTTCCAGCTTCTGTCTTGAGCCTATCCTTGCTCTCCACAACTTACTTTCCAAGTTTAAGTTTTATACATCTGAGTACAAATCCCTCATTCTTAAGTACAGAGGCAAAAATAAATTTGTTTTCATACAGAAAAAAATAAAAAGGGAAGAAAAAAGCATTCTGAATCTCAACTAACAGAATGACATTACAAAATCCTGCCCAGGCACAAAAGCCTGCAAGTGGAAAAGCATAATGTTATTTGAGACAAAGAAATAGGTCACAGGACTTGAAGAAAAAAATCTGCTGAGGACACAAAATAGGTTTTTTTCCTGAACTTCTGTAGCTATTCAGGCCACAACATTTTGATCAGAGCCTCCAAGGTACAGCCCACTTCTCGCAGCCAAGCTGTTTTGACCCAGAGTCATTTTACCATTACAGCCTCCGTATCCCAGGACACCAGAACATCTTGGAAGTTATGAAAATGGATGAGGTCAGCAGGGGAACAAGAGAGGAAGACAACTGCTAGCTGGTTTAGTCCAGCTGACCGATGGGTCTTAGAACTCATACGCGGCAAATTCAGAAGCAATATGTTTTACTTCACACTTACTTTATTCTTCTTGCCAGAAGATAAGACCCAACGTGCTGCTTGGTGTGCCTGGGCTGAAACATAACGGGGCTGATGAGGTGCAGGCGGTGGGACCCTGGGATCTACTGCAGGTATATCAGAGTTACAAACTAGTAACTCCATCTCTGACAGCCTCGAGCCAAATACTTAAACGTGCTGAGCTGCTTTGAAAACCCTACTAAGTACTTGCATTTCCAGGCATCTAAACTCTTCTCAAAGTTTGGCTGTAAAACTGTTCCTCACAACATCAAAAACATGAACTGTTTCTTGTGACGTGAACACAATGATACAATAGACTTCTGTCTTTATTGTGTTTATTTACAGAGTCATGTTAAAATATGTTAAAACATGATAGTAATGACTGAAAAGCACCCGCCCTCTCATTCTGGGTCTGACAAAAACGTTGTTAAGTCAGCACGAGTCTTCCCATTCATTTTTGTGGGTCCTAGCCCAGGACATCTAAATTCTGTATTTTTTAAGACTACTGCTTACAATTGTACTAAAACCAGTCCTGTCCTCTGACTTGTGATCTAGGACATAGGCTCAGTATTGTTTTATATACCCAGAAGTGTTTCTGTATATGAATGCCAACATTATGCATTTTAATCCCAATCATTTTACCAAGGATCACAGACAAAACATCTTTGCAGAAGTCATCTGTTGCTCAAGTTATTTAAAGTTTGCACAGTACATGCTCCTTTTTGCTCCATGAAACACAATGAAAAGTGAAGCTTTTGAATGAAAAAGTACAGCAGTAAGCATAAAATCAAACCAAATAAAATCCAGAAGAGAGAGGAGAAGAAGTCTTAGCAAGACTTCTTTCTAGAGCATGTATGTTTAAACTAGCTGGAGTCATTTTGTCACACATTTGTGGCTTCCCTGAAACAACACATAGCTATGAAAGAAACAAAAAGATTTCCAAAGTTTAACAGTGAAAGCCATATTTAAATCACTGAAAGTCAGTTGATTTACTGAAGAATAAAATTACTTGCTATTTAGTTTCTGATGTGCCTTTTGTCCAAGCAACACTGGCATGACAGAACATTTTGATGTGAAATGGCTAATCCATGAGGGCTTTTCTAATAAAAAGGCAAAAAGCTAATGATGTTCAGACATTCAAAGTTGAACTGAAATACTGTTGTAATACTGAGAAGAAGGGAAAGGACATGGTAGGAAGGACGAGGCAGTTTTCTAGGAGGCAACAAGCCAGCTTCTGATCCCAGGGTGGCTACCAAAAGGTGTGCTTCAGAAAGTCAGTTTTATTTTATATGCTCTGTTTCTGACAGATCAAATAGAAACCATTTATGTCTTAGCATGTAAAAGCGTGCACACTGTCAACATGAAGAACTGTACATGTCTTACCATTTTCTTGTCTGAGGAAAATCCCACCGCCACCCAGCCATCAGTATCAGCACTCAACTCAAATTCAACATCAGCTCCTATTCTACGGTAACTTAGGAAGTAGTCACAAGTGTCCGCATTGCATCCAGGTTTACCGTACCTAAATGGAATTGAAAATATATGTAACTTTTCCTTGCAATTTCTTGCGATGGAACTTAACTACATTTCTGGAAGGAAAAATAAAAGAATGCATTTTGGTATAAGGGCAGTAAAATATATCATATTATGCTATACACAAAGTCTCATTAATTAAATGTTTGCAATCACTACTCTTTTAGTGTAAGAATGTATAGTATTTAAACATTCCAGCAAGCAAGTAGTTACACACAGTATTACTCTGTTGACCTTCCTAGCCCTGGTTTTGTAAGTGCTTCATGAAAATACAAGAAACATGAAATAACTGTAGGTCCATAACTATGTCTTACATCCTTAAATAATTCCTCAAATACTATAGTTCATTACTACAAAGTATGTTCTTAAATAATAAACATTTATTAAAATGAATATGCAACATTTATCAAAGTCTCCAACCCAATCAGCCAGTAATTGCAAACATAAAGGTATCTGCACTCTGATCTCAGACTGACCTGAAGCATCCCTTGGTTTTTCCACAGTCATCTACTCTGATTTTTGCAAATGGATCCACAGGAGGAGCAGTAGGGAAAGGGTAACCTGTATAATCAGAATAAATGATTACTAAATAATATACAAGGAATAAAAAGCAGTAATGCTAAAGAGAAAGGGTTCCAATAGCATTTACTTTGACTGCTGATAACTGAGCTGTTCAGATGAGGGACTACTTTGTCACATACATAACCCCTTGCTCAGATGGTCTTGGATCCAAGTATCAAAGTATCACTGATAACTGAAAACAAAAATTTTCTCAGGTTTCCTACATCTGTCAAGAGGGGAGAAGGATGCCGGAGCATGGCTTTACCTCATTGAGGGCAAAAGTTAAGGCAGCCGAGACCTGGAGTAGTGCAGTCAACTAACAATTAGGGATCTCCGCTCATCTACCTCTTTGTGCACTTTCAGTCCCCTCAGGAAATCCATGAGGGACCTAAATCTGACTCCTTAGCCATAAATGACAGGATTAAGCATAAATGCAGAGCACCAGATTCAGAGCTGTAGGAAAGGATACTGAAAGGACCTTATAATACACCCTCCATTAAGAAGTAAAATAAAACATGCATTGCAATAAAAGGTAAGGGAGTATCGCATCGGGGAATTGCCTGCAGCGATGACCTGCAACCACTTGTGAGGTAAGATGCAGAAGAGCCCGACAATGAGAATTCTGACTCCAAGCAATCCCCTGTCTGCTGTATGACAGCACGCTAAAGAGAAAGTGCGAACATCTGTAAACAGACCTCTTCCGTCTTGGCTTGTAGAAGTTTGTGTCTGGTGCACAAACACATATTTTAATAGGATGTTCTTCTATTTAGCCAACTGAAAACCCAAGTGCTAGTTGCAAAACTAGGAAATCCTCTGAAAGTGCTTCATCAAATGGGAAATAAGCACTGCAGTTAATTACAGCATCTGCAAACACATGGATAGTTTTACCCTACACAACTTAAGGAACATGTAACTTTGGGAGCCCTGATTTGCCTTCCTAGGTTTCTGACAATGCCAATGGAGAGACAAAGCATGCATTAAACTGCAAATTCCAGCATCCATTAACCGTACCAGGGGCCTGGATAAATTAGCCAGCTTAAATGTATGAAATTAGCAAAATTTCACCACAGCCTGGAGCGGAGCATCACCAAAAGACTGGTCACAGGACATCCTATTTTCTCACTTCTTCCTTTTTTTCAAATGCATCAAACAACCGGGTTTGAGTGCAGCCTAGCGACTATCCAAAAGCATTATTTCTAAATAAAAAAAAAAAAAAAAAAAAAAAAACCCCACACCACAAAATCCAGACGCCACTACTACGTCTCGTACCACTCAAGGCATCACGGGGCATTTCGAAAACCACAAAAAACAGGACTCCTTTTAAGTTAGCAGCCCGGAACGCTTTTCACGAAGAGGTTTGCAC